GAAGGTGTCCATGTGGTCTACCATGTACATGTCGCGCGCATGCCCTTCTGATCGGAAGCACGCCCGGCACAGATCGAAACTGCTGCATGTGCTACGCTTAAACCGATTGCCAAGTGACAGCCATCGCACTCGATGCCGGCATGCACCTCGAGCATCTGGTGATTGCGCCGAGAGCTTTTGTAGCACGATCCACAAAGGTCATAGTCAAAGGTCATAGTCGTGGCGCGAGGTACATTTGAATCGCCCCCCAAGCAAGGGGTCGCGCCTGCAGCCGTCGCAGCAAATCCCTTTACGCGCCTGCATCAGGCGATGTGGGTGGATGCCACGGTTTACACACTGTTCGCACAGGTCGTAGTCCCGGCATCTCGGGCACTTGAACCGGCGACCAAGCAATGGCTGCAGTCCACAGCCATCACACGTCACACGCCGGTGCACAAAACGGGGAGCTCGGCACCCCTGCTCGCGGAGCTCGCGGGAGCATCTGGCCAGCATCTCACGTGTTGTCCTCATGTCTTCGTTCCTCCTTCTGGCGCCGCTCGATCTCTTCACGCTGCCTCTCTACCATCTTGGCAGCCTTCAACCTTGCCTCCTCCTCCTGGCGCCTCCTCCCCCCCTCAGCCTGCCGCCGCAGATCCTCCGTCTGCTTTCGCTGTGCTGCCACCTCCCCTTCGATGCTCTGCAATATTCCCCTCTTTCTCCCCTCCCCCCTAAGATCTCCCCCCCACCCCCGAATGACCGCCCAAAGTTCGAGAGACCCTCTGAAAACGCCAAGGCACTCGGCCCCTGGTCGTCGCAGCCACTTGCGCGCGCTGACCCACCACGCTGGGGCCACTAGCGGTCACCCTGGCTGCACCCACGGCTGACTGTTGGCCACAAGTAGGCTTTAACTCTCTCAAGGGAAGAAACGCACGCCTCACCAAAGTAGATAGATGAGCCCAGGCGAAAATGACTTGTTTCCCCAAGAGGACATGGGCCAAATTTAGCTAAGCCCCACATGTCCTCCCTATGTAAACTAAGAATTGCCTAGTCAGTTGAGTCCCCTCAGGTTCCAATTTGCCGATCCTGGGCCGCGAAACAGCTACCGAGTCACCGGGCCCCGCCTTCGGGGCACAGCTCTCAGGTTGGCGCGCGTCTCCGGCGAGTGGGGTGAGCGAGTGGGGGGGGTCCCTTTAAGGCCCTTTGGTGGACATGATGCAGCCGGAGATTCATTAAGCTCGAAGTTTGAGCGCTTTCAAACAACAAGGCACACGGCTGTGCGTTTGCTTTGTTTGGGCCAAAAGAGGAATGCAGGTGTTTGTTGTCCGCGTTGTTTTGCCAGAAGATGTCATTGATGGTTACAAAAAATATGGTTACTGGCCCAGATGCGCAGCCGCAGCTTTTGCGCAATGGCAGCTCACCGAACGTAGGGCGGAGGTCGTGGCTCGAGTCCCTCCAGCTCTATTCTTGGGATGCTTGAAGACTTTGCTCGCGACCGAGATAGCACTGTTCAAAAAATCTTAGTAGCCAAAACCTAATATACAAAACCATAAGAATCAACAGGGTGGATACCCGCACCTATGGGTGGGACTGTCCAACCTTCACTTACACAGGTTTTGAGTGCGGCTCTAAGGGCAACGGTGTCCTTTGCGCATCAGAAACGTGCTTGGCTTTATGATGTGCGTTCCTGCCCAACCATGCTTGAGCTGTTGAGTCCTTTCTGGCTTGTCAGCTTCCCATCCGGAGGGAGCAAAGCTTCCCGTGGCTGGGTTGGATCCTTTTGCTGTACAATGGAAGGAGATCCTTCGATGTGTTTCGGTTGTTTTTTGGTTGACAAGTCCAAGAAAGGAGGATCTGGGCATCGATTGTTTGGTTTTTGGTTGACGGATTCCAACCATTGAGTTCCACCCAACCTCATGGCCATCCTTTCCAGTGATCAGGTCACCTTGGGGTCTTTTTGCCACCTTTTGTGCAACCCCCTCGTAGTGAAGGATTCCTTTTAAAGGGGGTCGCCAATTTTCTCACAAACGGTGGCAAAACGACCCCCCTGGTTCAAAACGGTGCCCATAGGCCAGGATTCCCCCGCTTCAGTTCCGCCCACGCGGCCTGGTTCGCAGCCAGGCGCCGGTGCCGTGCCCGGAACAGCACCACCCGCGCCTCCTGCGACACCCGGCTCCTCGGCACGGGCGCCCACCGGGGTTACCGGGTTTTTGAGCTGCCCAACAAACAGGTGGAATGGATCAAGATCATGCAAATTTCAAGTGAAGTGGGTAGAATTCACCAACTGGAAATAGGGAATCGTCAAGGAACCTTCATGGGTGAGCTTGTTTTATGCCCAGGCGAGCTCGCTATGATTTCAACCTCTGCGACGAAGGGGGGGAGGAGTGACAAATCCAGGGCCAACACAAACCAAGCCACCAACCAACCGAGCAACCAACCACGCAAGAAACTTCAAAAGCATCAAAACCTCACTTATGAAAAAACCGCTACAAAGGGGACCAAGTCCTTTCCTCCCCCATGGACACCCATCTTAGACATGTGGACATCCCTTGCATGTTCTACACCTTCACTGCTCCCAAACCACTACCCCCAGCGGGACACCCTTTCATATGGGTGTGTGTCAGAAAAGGGGGACCCCAAAATAGTGGCGGTCCTGGTGGGTTCCCTTAGCAAAAAGGTCCCTGAAAAAGAACACACACCTTCCATTTGCCTGAGCCCCCTGGAAAAAAGAAAGTAGTGATAAATTCCCCTTAAAACCAACAGGGGAAAATCAAAAGTATTCTGAAGCAAATGAAAGACACCCATCTAGTGGCTTTTTGCGGATGGTTTGGGCTCACTTCGAGCCGCAAGATGGGCGCCATGTACCGCAGCCGCGGGGGGCGCGGCGCCCCGGCGGTCGGCACAGCGCAGCGCTGCCACCTCTGCGACACGCCGGGGCCGTGGCGCCAAAGCCGCGGGCGCCTGGGATGGCGGCAACTGCTTGAAAAGGCGACAGGCGTCGACACCCGAATTTTGCAAAAAGAAACGAACAGCAAGGAACATGCAAACCCCTACTGTAACCCCTCAACCCACCAACCCCGCAAAGCATGCAATCCCCACTGGCATGCAACCCCCTAGCCCCGCCAAAAGCCCCTCCAAAGCCCCACAGCTCGTGCGCTCCGCTGGCTCACTTCACCGAGCCGCAGCACCACCGGCGCAGCGATCGCGTCCGAATGACCCGCCCGGCGGATGCTGAGAATCCTTGGTCCGGTGATCCAGGGTGCAAAAAACTGCAGACTTTTTGCAAGTTCAACAAACAGATTCCACAAGTCCACGCATCGTATCCATGCGTTTCTTACCCTGCAAATACCAACAAACCATGGTTTCAACCGATTTCAGAGTGGCGGCGATCTCTGGATTTCGCCACCAGCCACCGTTCGGCCCTGGAAACCGAGGCTCGACAAGATCCGGTGCCGCTCTTCCGCAGCCACCGCCGGCGCAAAGGCAACCACCTGCCCTGGCGTTCGGCGGAAGCCGAAGCCCCGCGCGGAAGCACCGGGAAACCCGGTGGCTTGTGTTTTTGCTCCCCCCCTTCTTCTCTATTTTTTTTAGGACATTCGGAAAGAAGGCACGGACGGGTGAGCTTCCACCCAGGACGCTTTGGGATGGAGAATAGGAGGCAAACATCCGGAAATCACAAGGAAATCGGCCTTGAAAGGACGCTTTATCTTAAGAAACACAGACCCCAGACTTGGCCAAAGTAGATTCTTGGGTGGGCGCCCCCACTCACTCTCACCTTGCTGGAAGGCTATTGTAGAGAAACTTGTACTAGATTCTATCTTTTGGGTGGCTCCGGGGACAAGAAGACACGGATCTCACCCCATTTGGGCCTCCCCCTGGTTTCGGAAAAAAATCGGTGCTTGCGCTTCCCAGCAGTTCCCCGAACAGAAGACAAGTAAGCCAGCCGCACAAGTCGTGACAAGCGCAAGGCTATTCCCCACTTTCGATACTTAGGATATCATCTGTGAAATGGCTTTCTTGGCGATGACCCTCCACTAGCAATGATGGTTTTGGAGGGCCAGAATGCGTCTTTTCCGGACCCTTGCTTATCTAAAATCACGTCCAAAGGGTCCACTGTCTCCAACCCCAAGTTCAGGGAGCCAATTGGAAGCCACTAACCTGGTGAAGAGGTGAACCCAAGGCCCAGTGCCAAGGTCTCCAACGTGGATCAACCATTGTCGTAGCGCGAAAATCTTAGGGGCTCTCTGCATGGTGTTCTGTGCGTGTCAATTCGAAACCCACGAAAATGGGCCACGATACCTGGAAAAACGCATTCCCAAACAAAGCACCCAGGACTGAGGCAAGTGCGGCACCATCCAAATGCTCGTCACGCAACCTGAATCTGAATGCATTCTAAAATAAGAGACCCTTCTGTGAATGCACAAAATATGTCGCCAGTTTGTAGGTGATTTATCCCAGCATTCACACGACCATAGCTGATCCACAGGATCAGTTACACCTCCCCCCGCCGGCGCCTGGCTGCATGCGCAGCGCGTCACTTGCCAGACAACGGGTGTGAAGCCAACGCGGCTCCGCTGCGGTGTCTGGCACATAGCCAAGACGGAGTTGGTCCACTGCAAATCGCTCACCGCAGACCTGGCGTCTGGAGCGAAACTGGGCCGAGTTTGGCAATCCAACTTGCGCCAGCAAGAAACTATTTGCAACTGTAGTTTTGACATCTCATCTGGTTCACTTTAAGGCACCTGCAACAGGGTTAGGCCTGCAACAACATTGAGACACTTTCCAAAATATAACCAGTTGGGACTCAGAGCGCTGCTCTGAGGCTGGCTGAGTTCCGAGAGTTTGGGGAGACACTGGAACTATAGCAATAGGGTGAAGGAGCGAATCCTTATTGCAACGGCGGAAATCCTCGCTCAATCGCCACTCTCACCAAATTCTATAAGTGGAACTTTTCGGAATTTCAGCGGCGGCATCCGTCCAGTGGCTTTGCAGTGCAAAGCTTCGCGCGTCTCAGCCGCCGACGCAGCATTTCCGGTAGTGACAGTCAGCGCTGCAGCGCAGCCGCTCGACGTATGCCTCCCGCACACGCAACGATGCAAACGTGGCCCTCTGGGTTTGAAGACTTTGCCGTGGACGTGCTTTCCACAAAGGCTACCAACTCCGAACCGCTTTGGCAAAGCGGATGTGTCTCAAAATTTGGGACCCCAGGTTGCTACACAGGGGATGCTCCATCTCGAGATCCCAAAGTGTAGGCATACTTCTGGGCAACTACCCAAGAGCTTCATCCACGAAGGAGAACCGCCTTGGTTTAAGGGCCAAAAAGGAGAACCACCTTTTTGGGGGTCCTTATTTTGATGCATACCCAATTGTACTCTGCAAATCTAATTTGGAACCCACCTTCATGAGGAATCTCCCTTTGCAAACCCCCTGTTTGGGCGCAAAATAAGCACCACCGCAAGGGACATCTTTCAACACATTCCCCACATCGCCTCCGAGTACGGCGCCTCTGGTGAAGCCTCCGCCTCCTGACATCGGCACAGCTTCGTGGCGTTCCAAAATGGGGGGCCGAGCATTGGGGGGCCTTGTGGGTTGAAAGGAAGACCAAAGGAACACGAAATGGAAACCGAGGTTTGGGTGTCCCAGATGCTTCCAAATACTCTACTCCCAAGTCAAACAGGCGACGGTCCTTTGCGAAGCGCCGGAAAAAAGGGAGGGATTTCACATGGGGTGGCCTGCCGCAGCTCCGCTCCGAATTCAAAACCCAATGTGATGCACTGGTGTAAACCCAGTTGTGTGAAAAGATTCGCGGTTTGGGAAGTACTGGTTCTGTTGTCTTCCCATAGCTCGGCACTTCACGACATGCTCTCCCCTGGATCCTCCGAGATCACCCCCATCTCGAGCAGCTTCTTTGTCACTCCTGCAGACAGCAGGGCAAATCGACTTGGGTGCTGGAAACGCCATGTTTGGTCAATATGGGGAGGCCAAGGCAAGCCAGCCATTCTGATCATCCAATTCTCTCCATGAGCATGTGCGTGTGTCAGAATAATCGGCAACCCACAAAATAGCGAGATTTGTTCAAAATGGTACAAGTGCAAAAGCAATGTATGTACGCACGCAAGTGTATATGTGATGTGATGTGATGTGATGCAATGTGGTAGGATAGGATAGGATGAGATAAAATAAAATGGGATAGGATAGGATAGGATATGATATCACATGTGCTGTATTGCGTTGTCTTGTCTTGCTGTGCCTTTGGATTGGATTGCGTTGTACTGTGATGTGTTGTATTGTATGGTGTGGCGTGTCAGTGGCAATCGCAATGGCAATGGCGTGGTATGGTATGGTATGGTAGTCTCGTATGGGTATTCGGCATTGGCGTTGGCATTGGCATCGGCATTTGCATTTGCAGCTATTGGATTGACTTACATTGCATTGTATTGTAGGTGTAGGTGTTTATATACTGTGACTCCGTGGAATGATCAGCCATCTTACTGGTGGCAACTGACCTAGCAAATTGAATTCGTTTGCGTCGGGCATGTCGAAGTGCACGATGCAGCAACTCTTTTGACACTTCACCTGCATACGGATCCGCAGCCATTGGTGCCCAAGAATGGTCTGCAAGCACTGTCGTGAGACTATGCTAGTGCAATCTCGAACCACACAGCATAAACACAATGGCAAACTTTCGCAAGCAGGTTTACCTGGCCGAATCACGTGTTGGTGACTGTGTTGAATTGAATTACATTGCATTGTATTGTAGGTGTATGTATATAGAGAGAGAGAGAGAGAGTTTTCTTGTTGTGAACCCCTGAAACGGACTAAGACTTCGGGCCAGCCCCGGCCTGGAGCTTTCGGCGGCGACTCAGCCCGAGGCTTCGGGTCTGCGCAGGCAACTCTCGGGTTTGACCACCGAAGCCACGGGTTTTCAGGGGCGTGCCGGCACAAATCCACAAATTTAGGGGGGCCTGTTCAGGGCTTTCTTCAATAAGAATGGGCTGTTGGGGTTACATGCTAATCTGCGGAAGAGAAGGGGGCAAACCACAAACTGGGGCTTCCTTTTCAATCAGAAACTAAAGCCTCGAAACAAGACAGCAACCCCACATCCTTCCCACATCCTTAGCGAGGCACCTCAAAATTAGGGTCCCCATCCCCTTGGTTAAATGGTTTGTTTAATGCTCGCATCCTTTAAATGATAAAACCCTGGGAAAGCTGCGCTTGTTTGTGGCGGCTCACTCCGAGATGTTCAGCATACGCCTCTCAGGCATGCGGTCGGCCCAAAGGCTCGCGTCTGAAAGGCCCGCGAGGTTCAAGCTTCATGGCTGGTGGCAAAGCCCGCCTCGATTGCTCCGACCTGTGAAAACGCTCTCCCCAAAGTTGAACCCTTGTGAGTGCGCATGCCGCAAACTGGAAATGGTTTGCGCTGCGCTCTGCTGCAATGTGCCCAAGTTGATCCTACGCAAAGGCATTTGACAAAAACAGGAGGATGCACGGGTCGCCTCACCTCAATTAGAGAGCTGGTGCCTTCTTGTTTCTTCTTGCTCTCATCAGTTGCTCGAATTCTACCTACAACAGCTGTGTTGCCGTCAGTGTTCAACCCATCTTGGCCATCCCGCTCCGTCCTGCATCTGCGATCGCTGGCAATTGCAGCTGCTTTGGCAAATCCACCGGGCTCGAATTGATGGCGGCACGCGCCGCGGCGCGTTCAGCGGCACGCGCGGCCGCCGCACGAGCGGCTGCCGCAAGAGCGGCCGCAGCGCGAGCGGCCGCTCGCCCTGCGGCTCGAACAGCTTGCGCCTGCACAAATTGCTGCGCATGTGCAGCCCTGGGTCCTCTGGACTGAGCTGGAGTGACTGAGTGAAGCCTTCGAGTTAACGTCTGGAAACGTCGACATGTGCCAACGACCACCAACATGAATCAATGTCTATCAAACGTTGGCCAACATCAGCCAATCTGCCCTGCTGGAAACCAAACAACATGCATCAAGCTACAACCGCCCTTGTCGAAGCTCACACCTCCCGCCGCGCCTTGGCTTGACAACTTACATGCGCAGAAGCTCCACTGGCACTTGGTGCAGTTGCCACCTGCGGGCCCGTCCGAAGAGCAAGAAATCTCCGCACCTCGCCCGCGCGGGTCTGTGGATGGTTTCCTCAGATCTGCGGCCGTGCCGTGGTCATCTAAAACCCCGAGGAGTTGATCCTGGCGATTGGTCCCAAGCACCAAAGTCTTTGGACCCCACATCAATGCGCGTCCTCGCAGCATCTCACAGCACTCAGCGAGGTGTTGAAACATGCCGCCAGGCCCTTCGAGATTACAGGACTTGATATTACAGGACTCGAAAACTTGTGCTGTGGAACTCATCATTGACAAGTAGGTTTGTCTGAAATGAGGGTCCCCACAAACAATTCCTTCAAGCTAGATTCCTGTGAAAGCTATCGTGCCAGCTGCATTCCGAGACATTCAAGACAAGGCCAACCCAAGCTTTTGATCGAGTCTCCAGTATCTACACGGTTATGACCAATCATAACAAAATGCTTGATGGACGTAAATAATGCCCACCAGAAGGGTCCCCAAGTGGGGGTTGTTCAAATAAAGGTGCCAAATGTAGCCCTTTCTCGTACTCCTTGTCTTTTGCAGCCCTTTCGCGTTCCTAAAAGCCTGGCCTGCAAAGCTTTCGCAATGCGTCGTTGTTCCGAAATCGCCTTTGGACCCTTCAGGACCCTCTACACATCTCCGCAAGCGAGTTCCAGCGCCTCCTCCTCCTCCGGAGGGCTTGATGGTAGTTGTGGGGCCTCCATCGTGGGGGTTCCCCGCGAAACGCGCGGAAGCAACCCGCGGTTTGCTTTGCGGAAAGGAATGCCAACATAGAACCGCATGGTTGCCTTGCAGGGTCTTTCCCCATACTCAACGTGAATAAAGCCAAAGACTTGGCTCTCTGTCGTCTTGGCTGCACGAGGGCTATACTGCCACAAGCTCAGGGCAAGAAAGGGTATTTGTGTTGATGTTCTCGTCCCCTGCGCATGCCAAGGGTCACTGGACCATCATTTAGTTGGAAAATGGATAAATGCAAACCGAATGGAAAGCGTCCATTTTCAGGGAACCTCTACTTCGAGAAACATCCAAGTGAGGTCCGTCATTTCTGCGTGGCTCGACAGTGCGTGCCAGCCTGCGCTTGAACTGCAGGAAGCAATTGGCGTGGCACTAGCCATGTCGATGTCGAAGGCTTCTTTGTCTTGTAGCCAAGGAAGGCCTGTCGAAAGTAGGGATCGTTTGAGAAGAACACAGAATGCGGAGTAGTTGCAAATTTGGAGGCATGCATGGGTATGTGTCAAAATAGGGGGACCCAACAATGATGGTATTCCTTTTGGCTTCTCTTTAAACCAAGATCGCCTTTGAAAACACACACGCCCATATCGCACTTAGCATACCGGCAAATCCAGCGAACCTCCTCGTATGAGCAGCATGTCTCGATCACCTGATCGTCGTCATCAAGATCCACCTGGCAGCCAGCGTTGGGCCACATTTCATTGTTTAAACATGGTTAAACCAATCATATGGCTTAAACAACCTACGTTTGGATTTCCTCAATGAACCAGGGACTGGAAGTTTGAAACCGTCTCCTTTTACTTGCCCTCCGGACTCTGAAGGGGACCATAATCCCAATTCTCCCCAACCCTCCTGACAGCTGATGCTGAACGATGCGCAAAAAATATGTGGCTTGCACGTACCTCTTTGCACCCCAATGCCTGCACGGCAGCTCGTCTTCGCTTGCACGCGACGACTTGTATGTCCGGCGCCCGCTTCTTGCGAACCTATCAAAGCCAAGCACAAACACGTGCGTCTTGCGCAACTCACAAGATTGCCTTTTTAGCAACTCCATGGCCGCCAATGTTGGCGGATAAAAATGTGTTCACCCAGGAGACAGTGCCATAGAAACAGTGGGCTCTTCCCTGGTGTTTAGAGGAATTTGGCTTGCGCAACTCATTTCCCAGAGCCTCCCCACGACCTGTCCAGAAGCCCAAATCCATGATTGGCTGAGATCCCCTAGCCTGTCGCTGTTGGAGAACAAGAGACTGTCGAGCATTTGTTCAAGTAGAACGAGCGATACCTTTATTAGGATAATGTCAACAAACAATAGACTGCCAATAGATCGCCAATTTTAGGACACCTGAAGTCTCTGTATCTCTCTATTACAAGAACCAGGGGGTCAAATCCCCAAACCACTAATCCAAATCACCACATAGGGCTTGCTAAGTAACTAGCTAACCATCGAAGAAGTCGTTAAGCTGTCTATCCAACTAAATAACTAGCTTATGAGCAAACTATAACTCACCAACTAGGTAACCACTGAACCGCAAACTAGCCGGCTCCCCGCTCCGGCAGTGAGCTGACTGCGAAGTGAGCTCTCCCGATATCAAAGTGTCATGGCTCGCAAGACTGATGCTGGATGGCACACGCCGGTATACAAATCTTGATGCTTATGCGATCCTACCAGGATTGCTTCCGCGAAACCGAGTTTCACCAAATGAACGCGCCAAAAGCAAGTCTGCCGACCTCCATTAAACAGCCATGTAATGTGCCTTTGTCGCTCGAGCTTGTCGAGCTCGCACTTCTCGCCGTCGAGTCGGCGCATCCAGCCTCACGCAACCCAAGTCGCGTCAACTCCACATGTACATTCCTTTTAGAGTGACCTCCTCAAACTAACCCTCTAAGTGGTGGTTTAAAGGGGTTCCCACCCTAGAAAATGTTGAGAGCACCATAGAACATCTCAACATGCAAGGGGCCCAGACTTAGGGACAAAGCCCACCGTTGCACCTGCGTAGCCCAAAAGCATTTCGGAACCTCTCCTGTTGGGGCAATCTGACGGTCATGTCCATATGGACTGAACCGCTGTTGCAACCATGCAGCACGATGGTCTGGGCTCGGCCGCCTTTCGGCCTCCAACCCAGAAGGTCCGAAAAGGGTGTGGCTCGTGTGTTTTTTGAGAGTACCCTGAGGCTGATGAAACGGACACCAAAACCAAAACCATTTTGGGGGTCCCTGATTCGCCACATTCACGGAGCTTCTTGGGCTTCGGGGTACGTTTCGCGGGGGAGTACTCCTTTGGGGAAATGAACCAGTCCCAAAAAGAGGGCCTTCGGCGTATCAATCTAAGGCTAAAAAGTGGCCAACATGGGAGTTTCCGACATGAAGGATTGGCGGGAGTTTCCAACATGTGGCACTGCGAGGGCTCGAAGCGCTTTCGCAACCCCATCCGTTCCAGGTCTTGCGCAGAACCCATGCGTATGTTCCGGGCAAAACGACCGACATTTCCCCAAGAGGAGATGGGTGAAATTGAGCGGGTCCCTGATGTCCTGCCCAAACTGACAATGGACTATACCAGCAATTCCGTCTGTTGCTTAGCGTCGGGCGTCGCCCGTAGTTTGCCCCGTGGCCGCAATCTCCGCATGGTCACCACCTGCAAAGTGCGTGAGAACGATAGAAAGAAACAAGCAGCGCCCGAAACCCCATGACTCTTGGTTCTACCAACATGGTGTTACTATGTTTCTTGGTAGGCCTTTCTATTAACCAGAAGCAAAATTGTCCTGTTCGGTATTCTTGGCGCGGCTCAAGGAAGACAGAGCGAAGCACCAGCCTGTACATCGGCGTCATCCGAGGAGATTGACATGTGCCAATAAGTCGCAGGCGCCAAAGGCCCAATCAAAAGCAAGCTGACGTCATCAATAATACAACCCATATGTTTGTGTATGTGTGTGCTTCTGTGATTGAACATGTTGTGCAATTGTTGTTTTAATGTTCAACGACAGGCAAGCAAAGACCCCACCTGATTATGTTTCTCTTTCTTTCTTTGGGGGCGGGGGGGGGGGGAGGGGGGCGGAGTTCGTGCGTGTCCCATGTGCCTCCCACATTTTGATCCAGAAACCATAGCAATGTCCAGAACAAACCTCGTGCATGTGGACACAAAAAGATGAGGAATCCTGGTGGCATGAAAGGTCATGCCCTTTATTTTTTTGGGGGGGTTGGCTTAAAGCAGGCCAAAGGAAAACCGGCCCTTTTTTGGGGGTGCCCCTATCACACAAGTCGTGCAGGCCGTCAGCAAATCCTGTTGCCGTTTGTTGCTCCATGATCTCTCGGCTGCTGAAGCCAATCGGCTACAGAGACAAACATCCGTCGCAGAAGCCTGCCCAAGGCGAAAAGGATCCGAGGAAGCGCATCAGTATTCCCCTGTGCTGATGCTGCGAATCGATGCTACCAGGATGGGCTAGTCCAATGGCAGAACCTCAAAACAGCTGGTTACCCTTCGGATTTGCTTTTCGACCAACCTACCTCAAGCCATAGGTCAGCTTTCCTCCAATTGGTGCTTTGAATTGGTGGTTGGGCGAAGGTTTGGGCTTCCCATTTACCAAATCCCCAAACCGGCGGGCTCCAAACCGCCGACTTCCATGGGGTGACTTCTTCATGAGTTGCAATTGCGATCCTGGGTGATCTCGCTCAAGGGGCTGCACACAAGCGCGCTAGGGCCGCAAGGTGCAACCGATCCCTGGCGCGATGAGAGGCCAGTGAGAGGCCAGCGCGGCGGGCAACCAAGCAGGAAAGCCGAGGGCGAACAGGCGGGCAGAAAAGCGAGAAGGCACAAAGGGCATGAAGACTTAAGACAAAGCACATGCCACGAGACCTGCAACTCGCTGGAAGAAACGATCCTTGACAGTTGATACCGTGGATGGACAAACAGATGGATGACACATACAAATATTGGGATAAGCTGCAAAAAATGGCGCAGTGAATTTTGTTCCACAGTCACCCACAGTGACGTTGGTGAAAATGGCCATTCGATTCTAATTGGATGTCCATGGGCTTCGAAAAGAATCGGCGCCCTTTTTTTGTGGTACCTGATTTGCAAGAGGAAAACGAGGAGAACAAAGGACAAGGAACGGGAATCCTCCAAAAACTTGGGAAAACGGGGATTTGCACCACTGGAGGTCTGGGAGAAGAATAAAAAATGTCCGTGATGCCATGGCGCCGAACAAAAACCCGGCAGTGTTCCAAGCGGGCCCGGCAGACGGCACCGCCTGTGCCTGGTGCAAAGTAGTCGTCTGCGCATGACTGAAACCTCAGGGCAGAGGATTTGAGTGTGTGCAGAACAGGGAGTTGTACTCGAAACGGTGGATTTCCCTTTCCTCCTTTGAGACAACCCCACCCTTTACCAGGGTACCCATCGACAAAAACACACATTTCCGCTGGCGGTCACGTGGCGATGTCTTCATCGCTCCCCAAAAAACACGACTCAAACAACTGCCGAAATCCTGCTAAGTACGAACACCCAAACACCCAAACAAAATGCAAGCGCCACGGATATGCGAGCTGTGGACAAACTGATATGTTTGCTCAGAAGGGCATGGGAAACATTTTTTTGGCGGGTACTGCTCGGGTGGCGCTAGGCTCCCTGCCAGAGCTTGCAGAAGGACGGGCACAGGAGGATCAGGTTCTCACTGACCTCCGGGGAAATCGCCGGTCAGCCTCCAAAATGCACGTACTGAAACAAGCGTAGCCTCACATCAACAAAAAGCCCATTGGAAGACCATGTTTTTCCAAGGGCTTTTGTCAGGTATGCCAAGAATCCCCCTTCCCTCTGCGGGCTGTGTGTCTGGGAGGGTAGCTTGCGCCAGGCGCTTTTCCCTCCAGCTTTCTTAGACCTGGAAAGCCTCGCTCGACCGCATGCAGGCATTCGCCTTCATGCCGATGCCCACATCTCCATCCTTGCGCCGTGGCCATTGGACCCAAGACTCAACAATCGAAGTGTCGGAAGGCCATCACCAAATTCATGCTCGCAGGAAGGCAGCAAACATGGTTTCTTGGGAGGGGAAGTGGACCTGGTCGTCACAGACTCGCAGGTCGTCAAGGTCGTAAGAAGAACAAAAGGCTCAGGCTGCTGCACAAAGAGAGCAAAAGGCTAGTCGGCCCAGCTGAGCACACCTGGCCCACACCATGAAAAACTGGGTTGTGAAATCGCCCCCTGTGATGCCAATGGGCAGCCTTCACTCATTCTCCATTTGAAGGGAAGGTTTCCTATCAAGGAAGTGGAAACCACACCCCCTCCCCCCACTATGCCACTCACTGCTGCAACATGCCGGTCACCGCCTGCCGGATCTCTCATGTGAAAAAGCCGCAAAGGCTGTCCGCACCTGTGCAATGAGCATGAGCCTTGCATCTCAAGGAAGTGGCCGATTGCTTCTCAGAATGGTGGACCCCTTTGCGGTGCTTGAAAGGAAAACCAAAGGATAGAACCTTTGTAGGGGCCCGCGTTTCGAGAAACCTCCATATCATTCTGTCAAAGTCAGGACCCACCTGCTTGGTGTGGTTCTTCTCACAGCATGTCCTGGGTCGCTGCACCAAAATCCCAAGAAATCCACATGCCTCTCCCCCAGATGTTCCGCAAGGATTTGCAAGGCAAACTTGTTGAGCGGGTTCACCCGTTAGCGGTCGGTTCTACCAAGATAGCTCTACAGGGGCTTCTTTCGTCCTTGTGATCCCCATGAAACCAGGCAGCAGAACCAGCCACTAGAACTAGAAGGCTTGCGCAGACGCGTGAAGTTTCAGCGTGCTTTTTTTTTCTTTTTTTTCGCCTGGCTTTAGACATTGGTGTTCAGGGGGAGAAAAAGAAGAAGAAAAAAAAAAGCCCAGGCGATATCCCCAACAGCAGCGCTTTTTAGTGCTCGCACCACCCCGCAGCCCTCGCAGAACCCCGTGGAACCCTCGTGGAACCCTGGTGGAACCCTCGTGGAACCCTCGTGGAACCTTGCCTCAGGGCCGCCCCGGATCACCCCGGAGCCTATCTGGGCTGAGAACCCAAAGCTTTCAGCTGTTGGGGAAAAAACAGTACGCTGCCATTTCATTGCATAAAACCAGAGGCCGTGTGTTCTTAGCATTCTGCATCTGAGAGGCTTGTCAAACAATCTCAGTGTATCTTACCAGAGGCCTTCATTGCTTTACTTTACAAGTCCACTAGCCATCTTTTATCACGAGAGCATCTTCTGGGCTTCTTACAGGCCCCGAATTGGACTCTCAAGGCTTGGGGAGTAGCAACGCCTCGTGGTCAAAAGATGGTCTGCCATCTTCCCGAGCTCTTCTCCATTACTCCAACAAGAAGCATTCGACAATACTGGAGCAGTCAAGTGTGCAGATATAGGTCGTTCTGCCACTGCAAGATGCACATGAGAACGAAACTGGCCACGCGTCTCTCACACCTGCAACAACGCCAAGCAAAAAATGCACCAGCGTCAAATAGGGCAGGCGTGCGTCGTGCGGACTAAGACTCGCCAGCCAGGGTTTTGGGCGTTGCTCATCTGGGCTCCCCAGACTAACGCCCTCAAATATACCCTTAAAATAGGAGGTCAAACGAAGAATAAAAAAAGAAGAAGAAGAAAAAGAAAACAGAAAAAAAAGAAACAAATCCAGGTCCCCCAAATTGTAATTTTGAGAAGCCCTCAATTGCCACCCATCTCTCGAGTGTCGGCCATCGCAAGACCCGGGCCTCTTGTGGTGCTCGTCGCAAAAGCTCAGGTCCTTGCGCCCGAAAACGCATTCGAAGGCCGCCGAAAAAAACCTTGCTGTGGCCCCCAATGAAACACGACCGCGTCTAGCACAACACGACAACTGGCAAAGGTGAAAGACCAACATGCAGCCGGAAGGCTGTTAAGAAGCAGACGAAACCTAAAGTGGTTTGACGAAATCGTTGAACTTGCTGGTGCGATAGGCAGGGAATGAGTTGGAATGACCCCTATAAACCCTTTTCCTATGGTTTCCTTCAGCCGGGAATCCCCAGGTTCATTCCAACTCATTCCCTACCTATCGCACCAGCAAGTGTTCTTTCCCGGTGGCTGAATTCGAGTCATTTGATGGGGGCGTTACCTCGAGTCGATGGGCGCTAAATCGTTAAGAGGATCATTCCAACTTATTCCCTACTGAGAAGTAGAGGACACCCATTTGTCGGACCAAAAAGTGGACGAAACCCAAAGTAGTTGGAAAGCGTTCAAAAAGAAGGACCAAAAAAAAACCACTTTCCGACCAAAAATTGCGGACGAAGCCCAAAGCAGTGGACTAAAATCGTCAAAGGATCAAGGCGACTTCGCACCGAAGCTCCTGGGAGCTGCGATCCTTCGGCCCCGAGGATTCGTTGAAGCCCAGCACCTCGCGTCAGCTCTCGGGTTTCATGGGCTTAGGTTGAAGGTTTAGTGCTTCGGGCTTAGGGTCCTAATCAGGAGATGCGTTTCTGTGTGAGGGTTTGGGGTTTGGGGTTTTGGGCTTTTGTTCAGGGGTGTTGGGTTTTGGTTCTTCTTTCACAAGGGTCGTAGGGCTTAGGGTTTAGAGTCTTACAAGGGTCGTAGGGCGTAGGGTTTAGAGTCAGAGGGTTTCAATTTGGGCGCAGTTTAGATTTTTGGGTTGGACTTTAGGTTCGAAGCATAGGTTTGGGGCTCCGGATTTGCTCTCTAGGTTTAGGGCTTTTAGGTGATAGGGTTCATGCGTAGGATTTATGAAGATGCAGCTGGAAGCATCATAAAAATAATACAGCCGGCACAAGCTTTCATGGGACGTACCTTTTCGGGGTGAGGGGCCCAGGGGGCGTCCTGAAACCAAAAAAAAAAACACCCTAGTTTGGGATTTCCGAATTTGGCGACAATCCGTTCTCACAGGCGCATTTG